TTCTGTATGAAGAAATGGATTTGGGAGCCGATGAAGGATGAAGAAATTGTGTTAGAGGTACTGCATGGTGTTGCATGCAATTTCTTCATCCTTCATCAGCTTCCCAGTCCATATTTCTTCATACAAGAACTTCCTGAGCAGTAAGATACTTGTCAGGAAGGGTTGAATAAGGGAGCTTTCCTCTTCTCGATAGCTCTCACAATCAGTCAAATGTCCTGGTCAACCGGCCGTTCGATCGTATTTTTTGTTAAAGTAGTCTTTCAATTTAATGACCCTTACACAAAACGAAACTGCGAAGAGAGACAGCTGTTTACTGCGATGACGTCATGACGTCAGTCATTAGGCTTGTTTTCTGTTCCTACACTAGTGAACTAGTGCAATAAATTGGAGTAAGACAAGCATATTTTTTCTCATTCTAGCTTACTGCACTAGTTCACCAGTGCAGGAACAGAAAACAAACCCAATGTACATTTACAAAAATCCCGGAAATAGGCTCGGAAGGTAATTGAATAACAAGTCTCAATTATTTCTCAGTTATGTTGCAGTTCTGTTGCAAAGACATTGAAACGTCTTTGCAACATAATTGCAACATAACTGAGACTTATGTGCTATCAGGGTTATGAATATACGAGTTCTAATTGTAATAATCTATATACATATTTATAAAATACTCGATTGGAATATTTTGAAATTAAGAATATTTGTACTCCAGAAGAATATCCATAGAACTATGCGTGCTATCTGGGATAGTGAACTTCTGAGCCCTCACGAAAAAGTAACGAAATAATTACTAGAAAATTACTGTATATCAGTAATTGAACTGTCAGAAATTACTGATGTACAGTAATTTTCTAATAATTATTTCGGTACTTTTCCGTAAGGGAGGAATACTTGAAGACGAACTGATTGTGGCTGGTTCTTCAGATATTCAGTTTTCGCAGGTATTCTTTAAGATTAAATCCCCGTGAAAACCTACATTCACCTTTGTGCTATCTGGGTTGGTTCAAGTTCCCCTAAAGTGTCTCGCGGATGGCGGAATCGCTAACCAAGCCCCGAGCGTATTTTAGACGCGGTCGGTCTCGCCTGGCCGAGCCGACCTTTTCAGCGGCCCAAATGTAACCGAGCGAAGCGAGCCGATAAAACGTGATAATCTTCCTTATCGCGTCGCGTGCTTTATTAAAGACATAAGGTTAAGTTCGAGGGTCTCCCCGACGACCCCGAGCGCAGGCCCTTTTGCGTTGACCGATCGGGCGTACGCAATCGCGGCGACTTCCGTATGACGGGTCACGCGGACCTTGCCGGCAATCTCGGAGCATACGATTCTTCAAGTTATTCTCGAACAATTATTACAGTTCCGCCCCCGTTTTTCCACGAAGAGGGGGAAGAAAAAAGGGAACGGCCTCCGACCTCGTGGCATTAGACATTGACGTTCGCGCCGAGCGCTCTTGCGGATTGTCAGCCCGCGCAGCGAGCGAGCAACGTTACATCACGAGACAATAGAGGCTCGTAATCCGCCATCGACGCGAATGGCGACGGTTAACGGCAGGATACATGCCCCGTAATCCATTTACCGATATCGTGGGCTGTATAACACATCGGCTGTGAAACTTGGATGAAAAGACGCGGTGGAGGAGCATTGAGTCGCTCTAAAAATAAGGCGATTCAGGGGCAGAAGCGAGGACGATGTTTAGCATTAAAGGGAAATTGAGATGACGTTAAGGACAGCTTCGACGCCAAAGCGCCGCAGGCTTAATCGCCGATTAACTTTTTGGTCGGCAGCGCCGCTTACAATAAAATTCCCAGCGACTCGAGTGATCCACGATCTTTCACTCTTCTCTTCGCGTATATCAAAAGATTTCTAATACTATTCGTAGGCACGATCGCTGAACAGCAATTGGAAAAACGCCGCCAGCGCGGCTATCGATCTCGCGGGCGCGCGTGCGCGCCGCGTCGCACGCTGTCCGCACCGCGTACGGGGAAAAGCAGTATTTCCTCGAATACCAGGCATATGCGTCTCGCCTTCGTGCCGATTTCACACATGCGAGCGATGACGATCTGTGCATGCTGGGTTTTATGCAGCCGCGCGAGAGGTCGGTCGGCCGATAACCATTCTCCGCGATAACGCGCAGTTTTGTAGCTAATTATACTGGGTGTGTTCCCATTTCCTTTCAGTATCCACTGACAGTACTTCCGAATAGTCTCGAGGATTCGGTATCGAAGAGAAGCTTTGTTTTCTGACGTCAACTGTTTCTTAATTATTGTTACTTGACAAGGACCGGGAATTAGGACGGAATGCCGTAAAATGAGCCACTCAAATCTCGCCAGTCTGGTCGACTACTAGCTCTACAGAGTTTTGTTACTTTAGTTATATAATTTTACCACTGGTGACTGTAAGAACACTCGAGCTCATCAAAGAAAAGGTCGGGATGGTTGCATTTAGAAAAGAATAACTGCTACGTTATTACGAAGACTACTGAGGTTTCGTTTGGAAAAATGCTTTTCTCAGAAGCTGAGTTCAGTAATGGCGTCCAGTACTGACAATGAGAGGAAATGGGAACACACCCACACTGTTTGCTCTCCGTGGAGAACGGCGCGTCTTCATATTATAGACGCGAACAGATATTATCGTTCTATATCCCGACGGGGAGAGCGTCGGATCCGTTTTCTCTTCTCTCTCCGCGCTATCGTAGCCTGCGAGAAGCGCTTTCATTGTCGCGGATAAAAATACAGTTGAACGCTGAAAAGAGCACCGGTCATTAAAGCCTCGTGTCCACGATCCAAGGACTGTGTTCAAGTTCTAGTTCCAAGAAATACGTAGCCAATCAACCTGCAGCTTTTCCATAAAGGATACAGGTTGTTTGGTTACACATTTCTTGGAACTAGAACCAGGACTTCTTGAATCCTGGACACAAGGCTTAAGGAATTAGCGTTTCGCCTCTCAATTCTTGAATTCCTTCCCGCGAGAGAGAGCGAGAGAGAGAGAGAGAGAGAGAGAGAGAGAGAGAGAGAGAGAGAGAGAAGCGTATGCGAGCATTTCTTCCCTCGCAAGAAAGTTGCTCGACCGTTCGCGTCCCATACAGCACCAAGAGATTGCAGAAACATTGCATAACATTGCCAGCGCAGAACGCGCGGAACAGACTTGGCCAGTCGACATGCAACCTTCTTGTAAGAGTAGAATTTTCGCGTTCGTACGTTTCTCTTTCGAATAAATTGAGGGATCGAGCTCCACCCAGCGGGAAAAGACTGGGTCGATCGACGTCGAAACCTTTCAAATTGAGCGACGTCGCATCGACGTCAATTTGCCGGCGTCGATCGACGAGTCATTTCTCTCGGCGGGGACGCGAGCGGCCGGCGCGTTTGAATTTCGCGGGCGACGACCGCGACACGGACCGCGTTATCGCCCGGTGGCCGCGATTGCCGAAATATGCCGCGTTGCTTTTGTCCTCGCGCTTCGCGAGTCGATCGGCCGTCTTCGCAAAAAGATGTGCGACGGCGCGCCGAAGGTAGCCGGATGCAGCTGTTTCGCCGCCGCCGCCGTGTTTTGGCGGCAAACCGGCACGAATGGCGGATAAGCGTGGCGTGGCGTAAGTTCGGCGGTGCGGGCCACTCGTGAATCGGATATAACAGTTCCTCGTCATGTCAGGGAGCGTGCTCAAGTTCGCCAAGCTGTCGGAGAAGGCGTTCGCGCCGACCAAGGGCTCGGAATACGCGGCGGGCTACGATCTACGGAGGTACGTGGCTTCCCCGAGCGAAGACGCCTTGGGCTCGACCGCTGTCGCTCTGCTCTGTCAAGCCGCTGGCGGACTGCAAGTAACGTGACAGCGACCGGCGATGGCTCGATTGATTGCGGACACTTGGGCTCGGTTTCACCGACGTTGCTTGAGCTTGGCTTAATTTGTTCTTCATCTCTTTCCAACTGTTGCTCTGGAAAGAGACAAACGTGAATTGCACTAACAATAGGATTAAGTTAAGCGACCTTTGGTGAAACCGGCCCTTGGAATATAATCTCGGTAAACGTAGCCGAGCCACCTAGTAAGCCTCGAGAGAGCAAGGGAGTTGGTCGTCGATAATGTTAACTAGTCAACGTTATTCTATTCGAATCGTCGTTAATTAATGTATTCGATGAGTCCACAGTGAGATCTGTAAGGCCTGGTCTACAATGACTCGTTAGAAGTTGGAACTGTATTTCACCCAGAAAGAAAAAGGACCGACTTCTGACCAACGACTGAGAACATATTGGCCGAGTTTACATCGTGCACTTGATACGCGTATCAAGTAGTGTATTTGAGCTGATCAGCCAATGATTAAACTGATTTACTAGTTATTTACTATTTGATACACGTACCAAGTGATTGATGTAAACTAGGCCATTGTAGACCGGGCCTGAGACGTAAGATTTAAGGAAGCGATCTATCACAATGGACTGGTAATTTTCTTAAATCTTAAAGATCTCATTGTAGACGCCGCACCATTGTTAACTAGTTTGCCGAGGAAAATCCTGTAGACTTGTAAAATGTGTTCTTCTTGTGCGATACAGCGCGTACAAGTACATTGTGCCGGCCCGTGGCAGGGAGTTGGTCAAGACTGATCTGCAAATAGAAGTTCCTTTCGGTACGTACGGCAGGATCGCCCCACGGTCCGGTTTAGCCTGGAAAAATCACATAGATGTCGGCGCGGGCGTGATAGATGCGGATTATCGGTACGTACAGCTTCTACAGAGAGAGAGAGAGGTGTTGGGATTGTCAAAATTTTATTTATTCTCCTTTGAAACAGCGGCAACGTCGGCGTGATACTGTTCAACCACAGTAGCGAGGACTTCGAGATTGCGCCTGGCGACCGCATAGCTCAGATAATATGTGAGAAGATCACGTATCCGATGATAGAGGAGGTGGACACCTTGACTGACACGAGCAGGGGCGCGGAAGGATTTGGCTCAACGGGCACCAAGTAGAGCGAAGATTAAAGATAAGCCTGGCTCACTCGGCCCTCAGACACTCGATTGATTTACATATTACACTTACTGAACCTACTTATTACACATTAAGCCTCTTTACAGCCGATATAAATAAAATGCATTGATATTTTGGTAGAATGTGAAAGCCTCTTCATTTCTCGGAAGCGTTCACGACTGTACGTATCTGATTGCCGCATGCATCCCGCTGGTATGTACACGTAGAAAAGATATAAAGGGTGTTACAGGAGTTGGCGCTTCGATGAGATCAGTTTAGAAATGTAGGGATCAGAGGCAGCACGTTCTTGAATTGTTGGCCACTTACGTCTCCCACGAGCTTGAATACAACGTTGTCGGAGGTGGTTACGTGGCATCCGATGTCTCGCATTCTCTGCGAAAGAAACGTTTAAACGACAGATGGGACGAAGAGCAGCAAGCCTGATGCGTATCAATCGCGTCAACGCACCTCCAGAGCCAGCGATCTGTCCTCCTGAGTACGCGACGAGCAACAGTCCGCCACTGCGTGGACCTCGTAGCCGTCTCGCCGCAAGTCGATCGCCGTATTTTCCACGCAGACATGCGTCTCGATGCCTATGAGTACGACGGACTCGGGCTTCTGTCCATCGCAAAGCGTCGCAATCTCCCTGTTAATCTGAAGGAAGTAAAACCCTCGTTTACGTGTCTGACGTTAACGCTGTTTGTACACTGGGAGAATTCCCTGTTAAAATTCACCCTGGAAGTCGTGCGATCGTGGAGCAAGTGGCACTTTGAAGGATTGTATGAGAGTTTCTTTGAAATCTTACCGTACATTCTAGTAGTAAAATGTATACCGAGTATAGTTACTAGTAGAATGTATGGTAAAATGTCAGAAAACTCTCATAAAATTCGTCCAAATGCCGTGTTGTCCCATGACCACGTGACATTAACGCTATTTGTATGTGGGGAAAGTTTTTTGTTAAAATTTACCCTGAAACTAGTAGAATTACTAGCAGAATGTATGGTAGACTGTCAGAAAACTCTTATAAAATTCTTTGAATGCCGTCTTGTCCCACGTTTGCGTGATTTTAGGAAGAAAGTCTCCGTGTAGGAGAACAGGAGGAGCCAGTGCTTACTTCGGGAGTACACATACTAAATTGCGTCTTCGCGAATGGTCCCCTGGCTCCAGAGATATTCAGTTCTGGCGTGGTTCTCCCCAGAGATCTTGGATTCTGTTCGGAGACCAGCATGGGCACGTTCATAACTTTCAGAATGTTGACCTGCGAGCAATCGCATTTTGTCACGACGATGCATTGGCGCGACGGCATCAATCAAAAGCCTGGTCTACGGTGAGTCGTTGGGATACGCCGGTCCTTTTTCCTCCTGGGTAAAAGAAAAAGGACCGATGTACAGTTCCGATTTCTGACTAACGATTAACGACTCGTCGCAGACCGGGCTGCAAAGTGAACGATATGTAATTGTGAGATATGGCGTAACCTCAACGTGCGCTTCCGATCAAACGTAATCATAATGTGGAGCGTGTAATAATGAGTTTACCAGTTTCGTCGAGTTTTCAACTATCTTATCGAATTGGAATATAGCCTTCGCAAATGTTTCCTGAACGTCGCATATAAGCAGCGCGGTTCTTCCTTGCCGGAGCACGGCTCTCGCAGGATTTACAGCCATCGTCGCTATAAATCGATTGTTATTTACGCTGTTGCGTTATATGTTTGATTTAAGCGCGTACGAAGAATGTGTAAACGCAGATAGATTGCACCTCGCGAAAACCGCGGAAAACACTGCGAGGTAAGCCTGTGTGACGTGCACATTACAAGCTTGTGTGTAGTCACGTGGTGTCCAAGGTTTTATATCGATGTTATCACGACAAATGATTTTGACGCGGTCTAGATAAATGGCTAAAGATAGACGCTCTGTGTAAAATCCTCGATCCAAATGTCATTTTCTTTAATCTCTTCTATTCGATCGCAGTAATGAGGATTTTTAAGTTGACCTGGTGACCGTGTCAATATTATGTGAAATGAGATAGAAATAGATATCTTAAGTGATTATTTCAAGATGAATTAGACTGGTTCGATTTACACATTAAGGGGTACATTCTGAAAGAAATTCCCTGTAAGCTACGTAGAGCAAGAGAGAAAAAAGAGGGAGCTACAGAGTTTATACAGTAAAAATCTTAGATTTATAAATAATTAATTTAAAAAGTAACAAAGTATAGGAATACGTATTCAGATAAAATAATAGAAAGTGATTTAATTATTATTAAGGAAGTAAAAATGTTAAGAAATTAATTTGTTCAGAAATTGGAAATAGTTTATAGCTAATTAAAGTTGAAGTTAAAATTAAATCATTGAAGTGATATAAATGATTATAAAATTTCATAAGATGGGAAGAGGAACGAGGCTAAGCCTTTTGATATCTCGCCCAAGTAAAATGCGTTGGCCTTTTAACAGAATATAGTTGCTTTATTCTTTGGAATCGTTGATGGCTGTATATATTTGATTGTCGCGTATATCCCACTGGTATAAACATATGTACACGTAGAAAAAGTATATAAAACAGTTTCCTTAAGAGCACTTAGATCTTGGAGGTGGCAACTAGTCCCGTGTACGGAGTTGGCGTTTTCACGAGGGGCAGTATTCTCTTGAATTCCTCGCGACTCGCATCCCGCACCATCTTGAATATAACATTCTCAGAGGTGGTTATGTGGCATCCTATGTCTCGCATTCTCTGTGCGGAAGAAACATTTGGATTTAGGCGACAGACACGAGGAGGCCGGCAAACCCAGCGATTATCAACGTACCTCCAGAGCCAGCAATCTGTCCTCCTGGGTGCGCGACGAGCAGCAGTCCGCCACTGCGTGAACCTCGTAGCCCTGTTGCCTCAGGTCGATAGCCGAGTTCTCCACGCAGACGTGCGTCTCGATGCCTATGAGTACGATGGACTCGGGCTTGTGTCCGTTGCAAAGCGTCGCGATCTCGTTACTGATCTGAAGAGGGTAAGCCCAGGTTTATGTCCGACGTTAAAGTCTAATCTACAATGTGCTTTCTGCCTCGAGAAACATTCTATTTTATATAAACAGATCAAAACGCTCAACAAATCTGTCAACAATGTACGATTGTACAATGTGTAATATACAATTTATCGATTTGCATAAATTTCGTAAACGTATACGTTAGCATACAATTTAATTTAGCATACAAAATAGAATGTTTCTAGACGCAGGGAGCACATTGTACTCTCTAAAGTTTTTGGAGTGAAAATAGAACCATGGAGTGAAACGTTCACTCTATTGGAGCAAATCTTTACTCTGTTAGAATGAATATTTACTCCAATAGAGCAAATATTTCACTCTATGGTTTTCACTCCAAAAACTTTAGAAAGTAGATTAGGCTTAATGCCAGATTGCAGGAGAACGAGGGAAGCCCTGCGTACCTCGGGTGTGCACATGCTAAATCTCATCTTGGCGAACGGCCCCTTCGCCCCGGCGATGTCGAACTCGGGCACGGTCCTCCCCAGAGACTTCGGATTCTGTTCGGTAACCAGCATGGGCACGTTCATAATTCTCAGGGCGTTGATCTGCAAACGGTCGCATCTTTAATCACGACGGGATCTCGAGGCAACCCGGAAAGCATTTTGCGCGCAAACATCTGGCATTGTGACCACGCACTTGGATAGAATTTTGCTTGCGTGGTCGAGCCATTTTTCCACGCGAGTTGACGGATATTTGCGCGCAAAATTGTACGTTAATACACGAGCCAGCCACTTGCGGGCAAGAGCACAGACTAAACGTATCTTACGGACAAAACTCGGGGCAAATCTCATACAAATTTGCGCGCATAAGACAAGCAAAATTTGCGCGCGAGAATCGTCTGGGAAGCGAGGGTTTGGGAAAACGATCGATCGCTATCGATCATTAAAGCCTCGTTGCAGACGCCGCGTCGTACCGCGGTGTCGATATTAAAAGTTGCCGACTCTTATCTTTATTTATCGCCGGGGTAAATAACAAGGACGAGCGCTGCATTACGTGCGTCCGTGCGCGAAATGAAACGCACTCGATGTTACGTAATTACGACGGGTGACATAACCTCGACGCGCGGTCCTGGAGGCAACGTGAATTGGGGCGACAGATTTTACCAGTTTGCTCGAGTTCTGGACCATATTCTCGAATTGGAATATAGCCTTCCGGAACTTTTCCTGAACGTCGCATATGATCAGCGCGGTCCTTCCCTGCCGGAGTATAGCTCTCGCCGGATTAACAGCCATCGTCGCGGTCGTTGTTCACGTTAGTTAATTATTAACGCGCACGGAATGTGCGAACGCGCGACGAATCTGCGTTCTCTCGCGACGATCGCGAGTTGGAAAACACGTCTTCTCGGGAGGTACGCGTGTATACGGCGTATGCGAAGAGCTTATATATGCGCAGTATAGTCATGTGATAACTGGAGTCCAAGGTCTAATCGCTATCGGTGTTATCAACGCAGCAGTTTGGATGCGTTTCTGAATAGCGAAGGCTAGCTAGAGACGAACGCGGTCTATGAAATACGCCCTCGTTTGCGTTGCTCGACCGCGCGATTGAATATGATTGCTATTTCAGCCAATGAAAGCCTACTTTTATATCTCTTTCATTCATGTAATGCCTGCTTCTAACAATGCGGATTAACTTTGATCTCGGTTTAATTTACTTTTTGGCCCGCGGTTTCGCCAACGTTAACTCTGAGCTTACAATTAGTTAAATTCGTTCTTCATCTCCTTCCAACTGTTATTTTGGAAAGAGACAGAGACAAATTAAGCTAAGATTAAAGTTAAGCGACGTTTGGTGAAACCGGGCCTAATGCCTGGCTTCTAACAATGCGGATTAACTTTGATCTCGGTTTAATTTACTTTTTGGCCCGGTTTCGCCAACGTCAACTTTAAGCTTAATTCGTTCTTTATCTCCTTCCAACTGTTATTTTAGGAAGAGACAAAGACAAATTAAGCTAAGATTAAAGTTAAGCGACGTATGGTGAAACCGGGCCTAATGCCCGGCTTCTAACAATGCGGATTAACTTTGATCTCGGTTTAATTACGAAGTGTGGACATTCCTGTCTGTTTACATTGCACACCAACTCGCGTCGCCGCGCAGGCGCGCAGATCGACGAGAGCGCCGCGCGGCGGAGCCGCCTCGCACGACCTGGGGAGTACTGGGGACACTGGCTGGAGCGCGGAGGCGGAGCGCGTCCCGCGACGCTCCGACGCAGTAGTCGGTCGAGCAATGCCCCGGCCGGTCGGGTGCGCGCGTCGCGGCTGAGAGAACGAGGACAGGGGCGCTCGAGGGAGAGGACGCGGGATCGCTTCTGTCGGCGCTGAGCGCGATGAGGCACGCGGTTTGCTCGGCGCGACGCTCCGCTTAACGAGGCGCGCTCGGCCCGGCGTCGTGCGTCCTGTCGTCTCGCGTCGCCTCGCGTCCGACGGAGTGAGTAGAGTGCGTACGCGCGAGAGCGCGCAGGATGGCCGTGGAGCCGCGCGTGACCGGGAACGCGAAGCCCCTGGTGCCGCTCTTCACCAAGGCGTCCGACTGCGTCAACACCAGCTGCTACTGGTAAGTGCGACGCGTTTCCGCGCGGCCCGCCGGCGCGGCCGCGGATCGATCCCCGGACAAACAAACGCGCCGTATTGCGGCATGCACCCGCGGCCCTCTTCCCCCCTCCCCCCGTCCCGCGATCGATACGCTGCGACGGTGCGGACCGGTGCGGAGGACCGCGCTTCCGCGCGGCGCGTAATTCGAAGCCGCACGCGCTGATCGCGGGCAGCGTTTTGAGAATCGACGCTCCCCCCGAGTCCGGGAATACTATTCGCTCGGCGCGAATACTCGGCGCCCACCCGGTCCCCCGTCCCCGCGATCCCGCGACTCCGTCACGGACGGAGATTCTTCCTCGGGATCGGCAAGGGCTTCGGACGGCGCGGCAACCTATTTCGGCGGGATCGATAGACATATATAGGTCAGAGATTTGACGGGGACCGCGCGCGCTTTGTCGCGCTCTACCTCCCGGCCGTGCCGTTCGCGGGATAAATCGCCCCCGGCTCGCCACCCCCGGGATTAGATGTCGATACGGACGCGCTGGCGGCGCGCCGTTTACTGCCGGCCGCAACGCCCGCGCGTTCACGTGCGCCGTGCACGAGGCCGCTTTTATTGCAATTAATAATCCACGCGATAAACAGTGCGCACGGAATGCGGCGGCACGCGAGCCCGTTGTCGCGTCCGCGCGAGCACCGATTATGGATCGGTTTCATTCTCCTCCTCCTCCTCCTCCTCTTCTACCCCCCCCCCCGTAATTGCGCGGATCACGTAACCGGGCTGGAGAAGCGGTTCATCCGTAGCTTTTTGCCGATATTGCGATTGTCCGATCCGACACGCCGCGGCACCGCGCCCGTTGACGCGCTTCTCTCTGCGACCCTCGCCATTTTCCGGAGCGACTCTCCTTGCGAGTCTCGCAACTTCCAGGGTGATCCTCAAGTCCCAGTCTACAATAGATGATTTCCCAGTGAGAAATGATTCGTCGATCGACGTCGAAATGATGTCGAATCGACGTCAATTCGACGGTGTCGATGTCGATTCGACGTCGTTTCGACGTCGATCGACGAATCATTTCTCACCGGGTTAAGCTCTAAGCTTTAAGAAATTGGCCAATCACGGTCAAGTACGAGTAGAATACACGACTGTGATTAGTCAATTTCTTAAGGTTTAGGGTTTAAATCTCTATTGTAGACTGGGACTAACCCCTGTCCACAATCTTGCTTTAGGTAAGCTGTAAGCCTTAAGCCGTAAGAAATTAACCAATCACAGGCATTTATTCTCCTCACTCTCACCTGTGATTGGTTAATTTCTTACGGCTTAAGGCTTACAGCTTACTTAAAGCAAGATTGTGGACCAGGGGTAAGGATAGAGTTCTTCTCGCATCGGCGCTGCTGGACTATGTTTCCTGCGCTCTCCTTATTGCGCCGTTATAATGCCGCTTTTCGCGTATTCCCACACTGATAAAAAAGAGTTCAATGCAAAAGAACATTACCTTACTCAAGAAAATTATTCATTAGGTGGCTCCTAATAGCTCATTAACTCAAATGGAAAAAATAATAAGCAAAGCAAACATGCGTTTCTTCAATTTGAGTGTTTATCAAGTATCGAACGGTAGATAATTTTGAATTTAAAGAATTTTACTTTAATTCTATAGAATGTTTACCAAGATGTGAGTTTCACAGCGAAGAAAATTGGATTTCTTATTTGACAAAAACATTGATTTGTCACTTAGGTTCGTTAGTTACTCCGTTGCAATAATTTACATTCTCCACGAGATGGTGGCATTAAATATACACAAAATTTCTTCGATTTTTCTCCTCAACTCGAGTTCTGGCTCGATGCATCAATTCCCGAGTTGATTCGCTTATTTCTTGATACACGCATGATATAAAGAAAATCAGCTTCGCTGATCGTGCGCATACATAGCCGTCCCTCCGTGTGCCCTTTGTGAAAACGAGTCGGCGGATTTTCGTTCGGGGATAAAGGGCGGTGTGTACCCAATTTCAGCGAGGAAAACGTGTGGAAGCTCTGTCAGGACGTAGCGACCAGGCATCCTGCCGAATTGCAACATTGTCACGTGGTTTTCGTCAGCAACCCACGGCGAAGCGTCCCCCTCTGGCGTCAACGGTCGGGGAAGGACGAGGACAAATTAGTCGTGTGGGTTAGTATCCCCGGACGCGGGATAATTAGCTTAAATCTCGCCCCCGGCCCTCGTCCGCGACATTTCACGAAGAAACGTTGCCCCTCTCTCTCGCTTTCTCCGTAGGATTACCATGCCATTCTCATCTACGCGCCCGACGAAAGGGCGGTGGTGTACGATCTAGAAAGCTGCCTGCCGTTCCCCACGCATTTCTGGAAGTACGCGACCGAGACCTTCCGCTCCGACGAGGCGCTGCGGCCCGAGTATCACAGACGATTCCGCCTGGTGCCCGCCGGCGTCTACCTGCAGCAGTTTGCGTCGAATCGGCACCACATGAAGCGCAAGGACGGCACTTGGATCAAAACGCCGCCTGATTATCCGCCGATTTCCACGCCAAGTACGTAGGACGTGGCTCGCGAAAGAGGTTCCCCGCCCCCTCCTGCACGATTCTCATTTTCCGCCTTGGAAAACGTTCCTCTTGAAATGTGACTGGGATCCCGGTAACGATTGCTCCTTCCTCTGCATCGTCCTCCGAACGTTTATCTCTTCTGATTACCTCCATTCTGAGTTTCACCATGATTTTCCTAGCTGCACCTACGTGTGTATGTGTGTGTGTGTAGGTGTGTGATGGATTTGTTCAATGACTTTTTATACATTGGCTGCATTTCGTACGTTTCAGCCTGCAAGGATAATCTCGACTCATTCATCAACATGGAGCCAGGCACCGGATTAGGCGTTGTAATGAGTTTGAAGCAATTAGTTAACCGATTTTATAGGCCAAATGTCAACACACCGGCGCCGACGCCGCCTCAGGCGCAGGCCACGGCGACTTAGATGACGCGCGGTCGCGACGCGACGTTCGTACGCCTCGCGATTAGAACATCCTGCAAAAATCAATTGTATTGGCCTAAAGGGAAATCGGTTTGGCGCGGTGCGCGCACCTTCGTGGGCTAAAATACTCTGATCGAAATTTGATAATAATGTTAGTTAATTGCCGCTAACTCTATGGCAGAATTTCAAGTATAAAGATGTTGCATTGCTATTTGAGCGGGGTCTGCTCGGGAGCCGAGTCGGAGCCGAGGTGGTTCTTAGCTGAATTGAATTTGTTATACTTCGCGTTGCGGCACTTTCGTTACACCGCGAGCGCGAAACGTTTCTTAGGTAATTCAGATTAGTTCGTCGATCGTTATATCCATTATTTTCTCGTCCCTCTCAGTGGCGACGCGCCAACTTCGCGCGCGAACCCTCGGGTGAGCATGAAAGACCGACGAGAACATTTATCAATGCAAGTACCAATTATTTATCTGTTATCATTAACCGAGATACGTGCCGGTTCTAGATAGAAAGATTTAAGAGTCTCATGTTTTATCCACAATCAAAACCTATATATATATGGTATATCGATAATAATGCAGAAACACGCACTCCTTGCAATATTAATAACGGGATTTGACGTCTTATCCTCCAGTCGAGCGATTTGGCTTGCCGCGCATGCGAGGAACGATTCCGCTGAGCTGCTTTTTGAATAACTCTCGATAAGTGCTTATGCATCGTATTAATGGACTCCATCGAAAAATCCATTTTTCTCTCTTCTAACTAAAGAAAAAGAAAAAAAGTCCCCCTCGCAAAGTTTATCCGGAGGGATGCTCTTCTCCCTCCCCATCCTCGTCCCTTCCCGGCCAATGTAGCACATCAGCATCCGAACCTTTCTGAACTCGAGTCGTATTTTATACATATAAGTACTTTCGTCTCTCCATGCCATACAGCGATATCTCTCACGGCTTTCTTCTGTCAGTGGTGTTATTATAATTATTGTGTCAAAGACTGATGTATTTACAGAGAGTTATCCGACTTGATAGAGATCCCTTTGTCTATCGGCGCGTGCTCGAAGCGCGGGACGCGATTAAAAGCGCTTATAATTACTGTGCGATCGATGTAGTAAGGTCAAGAACTTAATCTCTGCGACGTAACGTAATTATTACGATTATTGTAATTCTTGTGATACTTTACACTTTCTACTTTGAATATACCTACGCTATACTTACCTACTGTTTATACTAAAAAGCCGATTCTTAAGAGATACATGTTCGCTTGTTGAGCCGCTTCCCTATAAATTGGCGTATTTCACTCGAATGAATACGCGACATCGTCACGCGACCAATTGTTAACATCGAAGAACCTGTTGACTCAACGAACGCACGTCGCTTTAGTGACGATGGGAACAAGTTTTACAACGAAATGCTTTCAATTTCTCCACCCGTTCCGCAAATAAGATCAGCGAGATATGTTCTATCCGTTAAGATTTAACGTCTCGTAGAGCTTTTCTTTTTATTTTACACAGAGATGTCGAATATTTTATTAAGTCGTTTGACTTATTACCTCACGCTCGAGACTTTATCGAGCGTTTACTTTTCCGGATTTGCGATTGACCCTTTGCGATTCAAGTTCCCGAATAAGTAATGCGCGTTTAAGAAATGCGTTCGCCATTATGGAACAGCCTTGATACATCAGAATAGCCAGTTAACTTGGATGTAAGTGCAAAATAAGTGTAAAATGCCCGCCACCTCCGATCAGCATGATGTAACCTTGGAACGCAAAGGGTTAAATCGCGTGTTATGTTAGGCGCATTTTATCAGATGCGACAGCCTTGAAAGTTCAGCCTTTGTGCGGACTTTCTTCCCTCGACCCTCGCGTACTTAATATTATTTAATAATGGTGACGATGTGGTACGCAAGTTCTCTCTATATTATTTAATAATGGTAACGATGTGGAGCCCAAGTTCTCCATACTTGAGAAATATATGCATATATATCTGTCCTGACTTCGTTATCAGTTGCTTTATTCGGACGAGTGCAACGGGGAAGTTTATCAACAAGCAATTATTATCGAACTATCGACCCGACGTGTCGGTGCCGCGAGTCGCGTGTCAGTCGTTCGCGAGAAGACCGGGCCGGGTCGATAGTTTTAAGAGTTCGTCCACTCTTTGCCTTCCAAAGTTCTCTCACTAGTTCACTCTCTACCTTTCTCATTGACACATGTTTACCTCCAGTTCGCATATATCATATTACTACGAGCGTACGTACTTGTGAGCGGGGGAGTTTACGGTTTCGAAGTATCTAGTCACCGAAAATCGCTTTAGTGTAAATTTGCGCGACGACAGCAGTCTCCGCGACAGGTTTCTTTTAACTGGGAACGCGCAACGCGTGGAAAATTCGGGACCGATCTTCTTAGCGAGTAATCTCGAGGTACTTTATCAAAAGACAAAAATACCGAAAAAAAAAGATTCTCTTTATCGTTCAGACAAAGATATTGCTAAATATATCAGAGCAGAACTATTACGATTATGATATATATATATTGTACACATATACATATATATCGATATTTCATATTTATTATACAGATATATTGTAATTATATTGTATCGATTTCGATACACCGATAAGAGTTTAGTCGGAAATGTTAACTTATACAATGTTTTATATATATACATATATATTATATATATATTTGTCGGCGTTCGGTGACATATTCTCTTACCACATTGTCATTTGCGACCTGTAAACGCCTGGACTTAAACATCATAAGTCTATTGCCACGTTTTCGCATATTTGCAGAGAATCATGAAAACTTCTTTACGACCTTCTCCTTTCGAGTATATGATGGGTTATTACAATAAATGGATGCACTCCGTTCGTCTAAGCTTCGAATTTTACAGAATACTCTCAAGCTTTCTGATTATTTCCCAAAATCCTATCTTTAACTTTCGTTAATTGTTAACCCTTTCGCCTTTGAAAAATAACTTAAGTTGTGCATCATAAATGTATAATTCTTTCTGAGCTTTGGTCAGAGGAAATACTAAAAAACATTATTTGTTTTTAAGTAAAGAAACAAAATGTTACAGACTTTCCAAAAGGATTAAGGTAAAAATATATTCGCATAACAGATATAAAATATAGTTTTACATTTATTACATTTGTTATATCATAACGAGGGGAATTTTTTGTTTCGCCTACAAATTCGCTTTTTAAAAATATTTTTTCAACGTCGCATTTACAATAACAAATGTTGCAACTACAATATACATTTATAATCAAAATATTACATCCGCATTTATGGCACAATTATATACATATTTGTAGAAATATATGTTTCGTTACACCTTTAATGTTTATATTTTTCAGTAAATCTGCGCGCTAGGTAAAATTATAGAATGCTTGGATAATTCTCATAATTATTTGTTTGTGAAGACAAAGTTATTTTTAATCGAATTAATTTCTTTCCTTCAAAAGATGTAACATTTAATCTTGATCTTGAAAAGACAAGGCTCTTCAGGAATATTCTAGTCTTCGTTCCCTGAATTTTTTTCTATATACTTGCTAAATCGTTCGTGAAGGCTTAGCTCGATATTGTAATTAAATTACCAGGGTAATCGCTTATATATATATATATATATATATACACGCTATAATTAATATAGAATGGAGCTGAAGAACATACTTGATCTTTTGTCCACCTTTTTGTACGTTGCTCGTGAACAGGAACCAGATTATATTGACATAATTGTTTTATACAAAATGTGCATTTATACACATATTCACATCGATGCACTGAAAACAATTTCTTGAAACAACATTTTTGGTTAATACTTTCTAACCACATCAATTTTAAATTGACCACAATTATTTATCTTAGAAACCTACTTATGTTACAATTAACATATAAAAAAAGCCCATATTCTGAATCCCCTGTTATCGATAAAACAACCACTTTTTGAAAGATCTATTGGTTGAAAAGATCTTTTGCAGGCATGATAAAAGAGGATTCGGAATACGGGCCTGTGTCTTTTACGCAATCAAATGTGTAACAACGTTTACAAATTGTCTGTAAAGGTCTCATAAGAATGCTTTAGGAAATTTTACGTAGTATTATTGTCGAAGTTTTTTTAAGTGAACTCTTTAAAAGAGTGAACATTTGGTGTTAATGACCATAATTTCTTAGGCAGCTTCGTTTAATTGTATCATATTAATCACATTGGCCACTTGCATCATAAGCAAATGATATATATGGGAGGTTCCAAACGTTTTAATCAATACTCCGAGATGAAACTCACCAAAAACCATTTTGGACAAATAATTAATTTAACGTTAAACTTAATTTTTTTCAACTAAGCAGAACAGCTTGTTCAATGTAAAGTGTTTAAGTTTTTATAAGAAATTTTGATATGTGCGATTTTACGTATACATTCGAAGCAATAGAATTATCAAAAAGTATTAATAAAACTATTAAGCAAAAATTCGTCAGTGCTTGGTACAAATCCATGAATAATCTCTGGTAGCTCAAGCAATCGACGATTCTGGATAAGACGATGATCATCGATAACAAAGTGTTGAAAATAGTATCGAACGGAAAATTTCAACTTCGTACGAGGATTGTTGAAGATCTAGTCTTCCACGTGCACTATCGAAATAAATATTCGGTGTTTTGCGCAATTTGATCTTCGATCGGCCCCATCAAGCGCGAGGGTCTATTCGAATGTCAGGACGAGGTCGTCTCCTTCCAATCTCATGCCCAGGTTGATTTCAAGACTCTTGATTTTCCCTGCTCTGGGCGCTTGCACTACCATCTCCATCTTCATGGCGGATAGCACGACTAACGGCGCACCTTTCTCCACGGTGTCGCCCACTTTTACTCTGATGTCGATTACTTCGCCGGGCATTGGTGCTCCCAACTGATTGCTGTCACCTTTCGTCGCCTTCGGATGTACGTGTAGTTCCTGCGCACGGGAAATAGGAAAATTCGTCTTGCACTTTGCGCCTGAGATATTCATTTAATCGCAATCTTATTTGAATAAACTTCAATTTCATTTTCAAACGATAATCTCGTTTTAATCTCAATCTAATTGCCATTTGACATTTCAATTGCATTTTAGTTTAATTAACTTAATTGAAGTATTAATCTGATAGTGTGCTAAGTAACGAAGCTGAAAGTCTGCGAGTTCCGCTTACCTTGACAGCCTCTTTATCCTTGATGAACACAGATCTCAGTTGACCGTTCATCTCGAAGAACACCTCGCGTTCGCCGTTTTTCGTGAGATCTTCGGCAACCGCCAAGGTTTTGATGCCAAGAGTTTTGCCCTTCTCAATCGTGACATCGAACACTTCGCCGACTTTGGGGCCCGTGAGAAAGATTCTGGTCTCCAGTTTATCTACCGGGCCAAACTGCTCCTTGAAGCTCAAGTAGTCATTCGTTACTTTAGGATAAAGTGCGGCCGACATGACGTCCTTTTCGCTGACGTGCGGGTGAGATTCCTTCAGCTCCTTCTTCAGGGCATCGAAGTCGAGCGATGCCAAACTCGCGCCTGGTCGGCCCTGCACGCGTGGCATGTCCTTGAGAACTTTCGACCTGGCGAAATTAATTGATGCGGTGTTGAATTCAATGAGAAAGTATTACCGGAGGACGTTCGCGTGTACGCGCGTAAAATCTTACCTCAGAGGTTCAGGGAATCCTCCGTGAGGTTCACCAATGGCGCCCTGAAGGAACTCGACCACCGATTTAGGGAACGACAATTCCTCGGCCCTCTGCAGGACATCATCGGCGGTCAATTTGTTTTGAACCATAAATTGCGCCAAGTCGCCGACAACCTTGGAGCTCGGCGTGACTTTGATAATATCACCGAGCAAGAGATTGGCTTGCCGGTACGCCTTCTTCACGTCCTCGAAGAACTCGCCCAGGCCGAGCGAGTAAGCTTGGAATTGCAGATTCGTGTACTGGCCGCCGGGAATCTCATTGAGATAGACGTCCGCGTTTCCGGACTTCATCGTTGTCGTGCATTCGAAGGGTGCGTAAAGCGTCCTAGTTTGTTCCCAGTACGCGGAATACTCGGAGACATCGGGGAGATTTAATTCCGTATCAATGTCCGTTTCTATCGTGACATGAATTGAAGATTTTCTCAGTTTCGGCACTCGTAAAAATTTTATATAATTCCAAGTCTTACTGCTAATACATTGAATCAAAATAAACTAAAGCTGTCTAAGGATCATGCGAAGATACGGAGGATAAGAATTCTTAAAAGATATTAGAAAATGAATGATTCTCGATCGGTCAAAATTAACAGTTTATCGAACTGTACCCTGAAGAGAGGCGACAACGGCGCCCATAGAAGGCTGGCTGGTCATGCCGGACATGCTGTCGACGGCAACGTCCACGACGTCGGCACCGCTCTTCGCACAGGCCAGCATAGAGGCTACTCCGGCCCCAGCAGTATCGTGCGTGTGTATATGAAGAGGCACATCCGGATGCTTCTGCCTGATCGCATCGATCAACATTTCGGCTGCTTTCGGCTTGAGCAGTCCAGCCATGTCTTTGATCGCCAGGACATGAGTGCCCGCTTTGACCAGCTCATCCGCCAAGTCGGTGTAATACTTGAGATTGTACTTGGTGCGATTCGGGTCGCTTACATCACCCGTGTAGGAGATCGCTGCTTCGACGATACCCCCGGCATTCCCGGCAGCTTCCATACCTGAAGAAAGGCTCGTGCTTAGCGAAGCAACGCTTAATAAATCTTCCGAATGTACTGTACAGTTCGAATTAAGATAAATCAAAAGCATTTGCTTGGAGAACGTCATTTCATTAGCTGCGTTTCAGTTGAGCTATATAATTACACCGCTTCAAACTCACCGACGATAAGATTCGGCACGTAATTGAGCGAGTCGAATACTCTGAAGATGTCCATGCCGGTCTTCACAGCCAGCTCGCAGAACTTGAAGACGACGTTATCGGGATAGTTGGTGTAACCGACAGCGTTAGCGCCTCTCAGCAGCATTTGGAATGGAATATTAGGGATGGCCTTGCGCATATCTTCCAGCCGTTCCCAAGGACACTCGTGAAGGAACCTTAAGGCCACGTCAAAAGTCGCGCCGCCCCAGTTCTCCAGCGAATAGAGATTGCTGAATTTGTGAGCAACGAATGGGGCGATCATCAATAAATCGTGTGATCGTACCCGAGTCGCCAAAAGGGATTGATGAGCGTCACGGAACGTAGTGTCCATCAAAAGGAGACCTTTGTGCTGTCTAATAGTCTTGGCGAAAGCCTCCGGACCTTGCTCTTTATAAATATGTCGGAATCCTTTCGGAGGATCCAACATTTCTGAAAAGGAACGCAGGAGGGGATTAGTTTGATGCTTTCTGAAAAGAACGAATTGTTATTTCGTACGTGCTGTTATTAGTAGGCGTGAAAAATGTTTATGAGAAGCGGTGGATTAGATAGACGGTAAAATGTAACAATACAAAATTAATCATTTATAAAATAATTTTGTTGACGTAATTATCAATTTAATATCGAATATTATATTAATACTGGATGTATTTATAAATATTTAAATAATTTTTCTCCCTTTAATTTTTTGAAATTATTTGAAATTAAATTAAATTATTAAATTTTTATTAAATACTTCTCCTTTGTGTTAAATGTATGCTATTAACACTTTTACATAATTACATATAAAATATAAATATTAAAAGATATAAAAATTCTCGCTGTGTTAAATATTGTTTGAAGTTTGTGTTATTAAATTTTGTCTTATTTGCAAAATACTTGATAATCTTAAGTAGGAAAATATTTTGTAAGACACAGGCGTAGCATCTGCAAATTATTATAATATAATTATTACGAACTAAGTAATAAAATTAATATTTCAATTTAATGTAGTAATATGTGCCTATTTATATTATTGTTAATGGCATTATTATAAAGAACTCTCATTTAGTACTAGTGTATATTAAAGTAACTGCGCGATCAAAGGAAAACGAAAGAACTAACTTCAAATAAATAAATATCTGCTAATCTGAAAAAGAATAGTAACAAATTAAAAAATTTTATTTATAGACACAATTTTGTTATACCATACCGGTGTTCAGTTTTTAGCTTCTCAATCTGCGCAATACTATAAATCTTAAAATAATATAAATAAAGAAAAGGCATTATGTATATAATACTGTGTGTAATCATACCTGGTGCGTCGGGATCATTGGTCTCTTCTGCAGCTGCAAGCTTAGCAAAGTCTAAAAAAATTGCCAAACAAAAAAATAAAAGCATGCGATAAAGAGAGAAGTGTGTACAAGAGGGAAATTAATATTCAAAGGTGTAAGTCACTATATAAAATGTATGACAAGACACGAACATTTTCGGGATTCGTCTCGATTAAATTGGATTTATTCCATTCGCAAACGCATTGCGTGTGCAAATCAAATATAAATGGGTTTCTTTTCGATTATGCGCACAGAATGAAATATTGAATTATTAACGAAGAAGGCTAGTCGCTAACAAAAGAAACAGCATGCTCCTTTATTACTTGTTATTAAAGTAATGACAATAAGTAGAGACATATGAAGATGCTTCGTGAGCCCATTTACAAATTCGCGTAGTGTGCAGTGTGCTTAATGTAGCGCGGTGCAGCAATTACGTTTGAATTTAGACACAAGAACACACCAAAAAGTGTTCCTATAAACCCAGCAGAAAAGCGAAAACGGTTTGTTACTTGTAAGCAAAAAGGATGTTTACTATATATTTTTTTCTATAAATATCATATTTTAATGTTACTATGTAATATCATAGGATTTGTTGCTGCTTGTTTTCATTAGAGCACCAGTAATTTTTTATCGATTACAATTTAATGAAATGTAATCTAATTTTTTTAGTATGTAAAGCTCGTGTAAATTCATAACCGTTTCCATCGTATATAAGAAAACATAATAAAAATTAATATATGTTTTTAGTCATTTGTTAATGGTTTAAAAAAATCAAAAGGAACCTTGAAAAATTTCAATAGTACATAAACATTCGCAGAATTAATTTGTAGCAGTCTTCATGTAAATGTTAATCGATTCGACCAGAGAATTAGTAGACATCCTGTTCATATAAAAAAATAAAAGAGAAAAAATACGATCCCTGTTTTGCTGACCCACGCATGAAAGCACATCCTCCGTACGCCTCTGCTCTAATAACAGCTAGAATAATTTTGCCACCTAACGTGGACGTAATCTAAATTTGCTGTTTAATGTCGAAATTTAATAGAACTGGGGATTCTTGGCTATCGAACTTCTCTCTGATTGTAGTTCAAAAGGGTACGGTCGATTATCGCCATCGTATTCATTGGTAATCGATCATGTACCTAGGGCAATCTGCGGAATATGCGGTTTGATGTCCGCTGGCTTCAGCTGAGTAGCCAATGGCGTACTCGGGCCGTTCACCAGGACGGTACCGATGTAATTGAGCAGTTTCTGCGCTCGATTCTGGCTCGGCTGTAACTGAAAGAGCTGCGGATTTTCGTCGATGAAGTATGTGTCGACAATACCGTTGAGGAACTTTTGATTCTCCAGGACATTTAGTAGAAAAGGTATATTCGTCTTTACGCCGCGCACGCGGAACTCGCGGAGGGCTCGATTCATCTTGGCGCAGCATGATTGAAGGTCGCCGGCGTGGGCGATTACCTGAGGAAGCAGAGAATATTATTCTACATCAGAGAAAAAATTCGAGGTTCAATGTAGGGGCAAAATTTCGACTCGGGATAGTTTTCTTCTTTAACATAATGATCTTATGAGAGAAATATTACATTATTCACATACCTATTAAACTATATCCGTTATTGATAAAAGTAAAATACATCTGACAACCTACGGTGATACTATTACGTTTCTTACCTTAACAAGAAGCGAGTCGTAATACGGTGATATTATAGCACCGGCGAATGCAGAAGCTCCGTCCAATCGGATGCCCATACCCTCACCGGAACGGAAAACTTCTATTCTTCCAGTATCCGGCTGGAAGTTCTTAGCCGGATCCTCCGTGGTCACTCGGCACTGAATCGCGAATCCTTGAGGTATAATTTTTTCTTGCGTCATACCGAGCTCCGGTAGTGTTAGGCCCTCGGCGATCCGTATTTGAGATTGCACGAGATCGATTCTGAAAGAACGAGAAGATGACGAGGCGGCACGTAATAATTGACGCTTAAAGCAAATGCGTATGGTTAATGTTACAAAAAAGTAAGAGAGAGAAGAAATGATACTTTTTGAAGATGTTTAGTTCATTACCCCGTTATTTCCTCGGTTACCGTGTGCTCAACTTGTAATCTGGCATTGACTTCGATAAAATAGAAATTTCCAGACTCATCAACCAAGAATTCCACAGTGCCGGCGTTCGCATAGCCAACGTGTTTGGCCAACTTGACGGCGTATTCCGTCATTTTCTCACGAATCTTGGACGACAATGCTGGAGCTGGCGCAATCTCGACGACCTGCGTTATAAAAGTTTTGTAAAATGTTGATATTTCAGTTTTTATATCAATTGCATTTCTTCAGGGCGTCATGTTCTGTATTAGTATCCTTATTGTAGGAGCGCAGCCAGCCCGTTTGGACCTTCATTTTGCGATGTCGAGCTGTTATTAATTTGAGAACTATATTATGTAAATCTGCGGACTATAATCATAAATCTCGTGTGGTTGCGTCATCGTCCTTGTTTCGAACAAGACGAACGAACGCGACCGCGGTGAATGTACTTACCTTTCGTATTCAAGCATCCTTGAGAAATCCTTGAAGAAAAAACACGAGAAATTCTAATTTCTTTACAGAATTCCAGAAAATTGTTCATTCAAAGCTTTTACATTACGTTAACTTCTAGTAACAATATTTTTAGCGCATACCTCATACATATTTTTCGTCGAACCTACGTATCTCTTTTGTATTCAATTCCAGAGAATCTTACATCTATTATCTTTGTTCTGATCTTATAATGTATGTAGTATTAACAAAATTATCTTGTATAAGCGCTAATTTTGATCGTCAATGAATGGCATCTTCTTTAAAATTATTATTTATATTATCAAATCACTTAATTTTTGAAAATTTCAAATTTAAGACATAATTAAAATTCCTTAAAGTAGAAATAAAAATCGACAGATATATGAGAGAGTAAGTGCTGCTGGAAATATTATATTCAATAATCAATATTGGAATCGTCATGTTTTTAACTGATTGGTGCGTGTACTAAATTAAAATTAACCGGGGTACTGACCTTTTGGTGACGACGCTGCACAGAACAGTCGCGTTCGTATAAATGTACAACATTGCCAGCGTGGTCCCCAAGTAATTGAACTTCAATGTGACGCGGTCTCTCAATGAATTTCTCGATGAACATCGCGCCATTTCCAAAAGCAGCCGCCGCTTCGGAAGATGCACGATCGAACATCTCACGGACTTCTTCCATTTGTCTTACGACTCTCATACCTAGCGATGGCAAAATTTTTTAATAATGTCACACTTCAACTGTACATGTATAATTAATTTTAGAAAATTGAATACTCTACAACATCCATTCTTTAAATTTTAATTTATAAAAAATGTTTCTCATTTTTGAAAAAGCGTTAAAAAAATTTACTTTAACAAGAAGATTTTTCATTATTTAGAAAGACATAGCATTTCCAAATTATTACTAGCTGTGTAGTATTATAGTTAAAAAGAAACTTTTATATATTTTACAATAATACATTTAAGTATCCATCATTATGTCACGTACAAGTCGTTTGTCTAACAAGTGTGCAGGCCGTTGATAACGTAAAGTAACTTGCCGTAAATGTAGTTTTTATGCTGACAATTTTCATATTCTTCGATAACGAATAGACGCGTTTTCGATACGTGTGGAACGTTATTCAGCGGAAAAAATATTCTTTTCATATTTATGATCTTTATTATCAGTTACAACCGATTGTATTGTTTCACGATAAATTTACTTTTATTTTCCACGTAAATTCTAGCTTGCGTGCATGAATAACGTATGTACTTAATATTATAAAACTTTTTCCAGTCAATCTGATAGTGCCAAAACATCGCAGCATTTTTGCAGTGAAGAAAGAAATCTTAAAACACACTTTAGCGGAGAAAGATTAGAAATCTATCACTCCTGTGTTAAAATTCAAAGCTTAAAGTCTTTATGAATAATTTTGCAAAGTTGTAAATATTTCTTTTATGTAAAGATAAAATAGCATGACTGTTAGCTCTTGATCTTAGACATACCTCGTCCACCACCCCCGTATGCTGCTTTGAAGATAACCGGAAGACCATGCTTCTTGCAAAACTCCATCGCCTCTTCAGAACTTGTTACCGGTCCATCCGTTCCCGGAACGATGGGCACTCCGGCTTCAATCGCAGCTTGCCTAGCAGCTACCTATCGATTAAATTACATTGTACTTGTTGGTTCTAAGATTTTTGAAGCATTTTTAAAGAACGTATAACTAAACAATTAATTACAAGATTTCTAGCGATTCCACAAATTTTTAATATTTTATATTTATCCTCGAAAAGCCTAAATCTGAATCAAAGCAATTTGGAATACACTAATTGTAATGAATAATTTGTCGACGTTTATCGTTATGAATATATCGAATAACGCATATTAAATATTCTGTCAATGATACTTTACCTTGTCTCCCATTTGTTGGACGACTTTAGGACTAGGTCCGATGAATCTGATGCCAGCATCAGTGACCGCGCGAGCAAAGTCTGCTCTCTCAGAAAGGAATCCATAACCAGGATGTATGGCGTCGACATTGTTTTCTTTGGCTACTTGAATAATCTCAGGAATATTCAGGTAGGCTTGAACGGGCGGTAACCCTTTGCCCACTAAATAGCCCTCATCTGCTTTCTGACGGTGCATCTGCATCTTATCCTGCTCCGAATAAATTGCCACGGAGCGAATGCCAAGTTCCGTACAAGCACGAAATACACGAACAGCAATTTCTCCTGAAATATTACGTCTGCGTATTAAGATTTTATACAAAATCGTGAGAAATCGGCGTAACCTACAATCGGGCATTATATGCTGTTTTAATTTTACAACAGCTTTATTCTAATTCGAAGCTGTCCAATACATTTATTTTTGACAATGAAAAAAGATACTTTTCGACCAAATTTTTGTTAAGAAAAATTAAAATTTGATTAACTCAGGTGTTTATATATTTTTACATATTTATAATATATATATAAATATTTAAAATAATTTTGAAACGCATGTCATTCGTTTCTTAATCTTGTAATATTTTTAGAAAAATAATGTGAATATAAAAAATACGTGAATCTATGGAATTTATTGAGACGTATTACGTGAGTAAATTATACGCTTTAATTACACGGAGTGCTTAATGCTCTCGATTCTCAAATGTATTCGCTTCTGGGTTCTATATCAGGAACAACGCTATTTCACATGTTGATTAATCACTCAACCTTGTCCTATAAAAATCAACAAGTCACTGATAACATTCATTAACTCAATTCGAGCAACGTTGATATATCATATCCGGTGAAAGCAATGATGATTGCTTTCAATGAAAGTAGCAATTATTTGAAACACGTGCTAATTCGTTTCTGTTATTTTCTCAATGTATTACTAACGAGTTCGTACTTCAAAATTACAAGTTACATACTACAATATATCATAAGGGATACAATAAAAGAAGAGGAGAGTCAAATTTTATATACATTACATATAATGTGTGTTTAAAACCTATTAAAATAATTAATCAATATTAATATCATAAAAATAACAAGTAGCGATAAAATATTAATAATTGCAAACTGCCGTTAATATTTGTATCAATGAGTTCGCGGCGTTTAAAAATAACTTTGCAATAATGCGTATGATGTATTGTTATCTTATCTGTTTTTACGCAAGATAAATTTCTTTTTGGTATCTTTCGAAATCTGATTATGTAGAAGTTACTGGACAAATCTTGATTGTAACTTAACGATTTGATATTTGGAGAGATCAAGATGCACTTTGCAATAACGATAAAGTTTGGAATAAATTATTTTCTGATTAACATTTGTTAGATGTACACAATATTTGGTCACGGAAAGAGACCAACACGGCAAATGTACATTACAAATCGTGAAATATTGTGATTTTTTTCTTCAATTCCTTTATTAAAATTTTTTTATTGTAATAATCATGAAAATATTATAATACAATGATAATACATATTTTTTGAAACGTATCGAAAATACAAAAAAGAAGTTTGTATTATAACTTAACAAATTTTGTAAGCTAGACTTGTTACAATGTCTTCTTCAAATACCGATAATTTTGAAAGAAAATTTTGTATTTACATGACCAAAATTTAATTATAATTTACTCACCTCGATTGGCTACGAGGACACTTCTGATTGGTTTGTATTCCACATTTGTGCCGAAGCCTTTCGCGACGATCTTCCATATTTGTAACACAGTTTTATGCTTGTTTAGCGCCCGGTGAGCACGTATGGAATGCATTTTGTCAGTTGTTACTTATCTTTATTAAGTTTACAATATTATCACTCTTTCTATTTTTAGCCGAATTGTATAAAAACCCTTAAAAAAATCCTCTTCTACACTCTATCTTCACGAAATGGATTTCCTTATCAAGACTGTCTAGACCGGTTTATGAATTTTATGACTTGCTCAATGAGGAGTTTCAAAACTATGGTATTTTCTTCTGCTATGTAAGTTTTCGTTCGAGTTCAAACCCTAACAATCTTCATCGTGTGGTCGATACTAATATCTTCAGGAATTATCATCAGTTTCTCGGAACATTTTTTACGTCATGATAATTTTTATCATATATTAAGTCTTCCCTTTTTTGCGTTTATTTCCCTAAGATAACCCTTCAATGTTCCGGCAAGTATTTCTGGTTATTTCTGAAACAAACACATCACTATTTTAATATAATCGCAATGATTATAATATTATAACTAAGATTAGTTTATAATTTTTATTTCGAGTATTTGATTTTTAATAGGTTGCATTCTTGTCATTATTTTCTCTCTGTTTGATGTATACGTTATATTTGTAATAAGTATTTTTTTATGCAAGGGCAGTAAATCGTGGATTTCGCATAAGATTAACTTTACCCTGTGTTCGTTTAGAGAATTTGGAAATTCATTATTTCGAAGCAACAAAAATTAATTATTACTAAAGATTTGGATTCCTCTTTAATTTAAATAATAATTATTGCGCGGATGGTAAATTAACAGACGACGAGTTAAAAAACAAATTTTTTCACAACAAAGATCTGCCTTTTTGTTATTTTACGTACTGAAACATTAAGTCAAACTTTTACCAACGAAACAATATCAAAATTTAAAAAATTGACGAGCGATCGAGTTTGTGAAAGATCAAATTGTATCGTAACACTTGTTGAAGTCTATCCGCAAATTGGCTCATTGACTGACATTGAGCGTGAGGCTGATAAACTGCGAGCGCATCTGAATAGAGCGTTGGAACAGCATTCAACTTGCTACGCATGATACATCGTGTAGCATTTGTTGACTCCTGTTTTTGGCGTGTTAGCCAACTGTATCGGAGTCACGTGCAATATTTGCATTACAGAAAACACGTAGTGTGCAGAGACATTCTGGCAGAAATTTCAGACTTCGTGTCAAGTAAATAATGTATGCATATCGAGTATGTGAAACATCTCACGAACAAATTGTTCCTCGCATTGAGGGACAATAACGGCTCATGTTTTTTATATGATACGTTTATCGCTTACATATTAAAAAAGAAATATTGGGTAAAATACGTCTCTCGTGTAGAAAGAAATTGTCGAGAGGGATGTAAGAAAGATTATAACATATCATTTTTTTACGTACATCCACGGTGTTTAAATAATACTACACTGGTTTACGATGCCGATGATTATATGCATTCTGTAGCAGCACGATCAATGGTCAACGACCTTTCAATAAGTCATAAATTTAATACTAGTAAATCGCACCAATATAATGTTGCATTGTTTCATGGCTTCGACGTAAAAACATCCGTTTGAATTTCTTTTTCGTGAGTAAAAAAATTATTTCTATGTATCGTCACAGTCATCACAGATATATTTTATATCCAGAACGTGTTAACATATGCATCAATGTTAATTACAGATCGCAGTGTGGTAAATAAATAGATTAAGTAGATTATGAAAGTATGATGAAAATCGACAATGCGATTCTTATTAATCTGTCACTGGTTTTCGCTGACGTTATTGTTTACGTGTATCGCATTTGTGTATCTCTTAGAAGATATGAGTCTGCAAAGAATTGATACAAGGTAAATATAATGTACCTAGAATTTACATGCGATACGACGTAACATAAATTGTGCAGACGTATTTAGTAATCAGCAAGGTAAAGATCGTTTCATGAATAACTTCTGCTGTTTACTAAGCCACATGATAATATGTATGCGAAAGAATGCAGTAATTTAAGATTGATTTAATGCCAATTTAACACGCAAGAAATTGATGATTGTAGAATTACTAAGAATTAAGAGAATTGAATGAACATTAGAATGAAATATTCTTCCGCACTTTTTATTCTCTCTCTCTCTTTTATAAAATATTATAAAACACTAATTATAAAATTTTTGCTCATATTTTTAACAAATACATGTGTCCGCCTGAAAGTTTTTTAAAATTAACCGAGGGGGAAACCGCTGACCAAAATCTTGTACACCAATGCCCACTAATGCCCAGTGGGCATTACTTTATCTTATTATCTTATTTTATTGAGCTCGTTATTTTTTTCTATTTAATGTAATAGTAATATTTTATTCAAGTTTATCATTCAAATATGTTTTAACGAAACATTAACTAAATAGGTTGAATGTTGAGAGATATAAGCTTGTATATTGAGTATAAACTCATGGCAGTTTGGTATTCATAGGAAACGTATCTATACATATCTACATTGACAGAATCTGTTATGAAAACGGAATTAATTTTCTTCTCTTTAGACATCGGTGATTCATATCGTCTCGAGTCCGTTTGTTACGTGTACTTGACATACACGATAACAAGGGGAAATGGCGTGTCTTGCAAAACGGAGAATTGCCGGAAAATCACTTGTCACGCCGATAAAACCTTGGCATGTCGATCAACGGAATGCATTCATAATTAACATTCGTAATCACGAGCCACGTACTCGCCGTAAGAGCGAATATCGATCGAATCTACAAGGAGTTAATTGAAATTACTTTGATGCCTTATCTACCATGATGAACGGAAGAGACTCTTCCGAGTTGATTACGAATAAAGTTGTCATCACAATAACTAAATATACCCGGGGAATTCCGACCTGTATTATGTAATGGCAGCAAGGTGATGCGACGTATACGTATGTTTCAGTAATACAATACTTCAGCAACGCTGAAGTTCATAAGAAATTCTCTTAAATCATTTAATGATAAACTAATTATTTCTCATAAATAATAAAGTAATGATAATAATATTATTTTTTTAATTATAAAAGCTACACAGGCATATCTTTGTTTCATTAAATTATATATATTATATAATGTATATAATTTAATGAAACTATACCGCCCATACACTCTATTTCTATAATATTTTTAATTTTACATTCTTATGTGACAGATATTTGTCCGCAAAATATAATACAAATTAATAATTCACTAGTAATGTTGCAATAATTAATGTATTAATCACGGAATGTATGAAACGGATGTATCTTCTGGACTGGATATCTACTTATGACGTATTTTAAGTTACTGGTTGTTATCACACGCGGTTGTACTCTCGAAATTACGTCGGACGAATAGGACTTTCGACCGAAGAACCGTGCCCACAGATTTTCGCAAGACCTTTGTCCCGAATACAGTCTCGATCGACCTCGAAATCTTCGATTAGCGTAAACGTATTGCTTCGTCTGGCGTGTCGGTTACGAAATCGAGACATCCACAGCATTAATCGCATGAACTAGTCACCTTTCGTTCGCATAACACGCGTCGTTGTCTCGGGTTCCTTGCTTTTTTTTTCTTGTACGCGTGATGTAAAGAGAACTTAACGCGATTTGTTTCGAAAACGTAACTGATACCCACAGTCAGACTCTGGGCACTTGCGTATTGTGCAAGAAATGATAATTACAATTATTGATTTAGCGATAAATAAGATAAGATAAAGATAAAACGTACGATTAGTATTTATGACAAGGCGTCAAAAATTTTAATTCACATTGTACATACTTAACATTCATTAACAGGTGCATCTACCAAAAAGGAAGATATGTAATAAAAGAATTCATAATAAAAAAATTTAATATTTAAATTAACTAAAAAAATATTTAGAAAACATCTAGCAAAGCAATATTTTGCTGCATGACGTATTACTCTGCGTGTTAATCTTTTTAATTTTTATAACGTTAATGTTATCAAAATTTTAAAACAAATATATGCACATTCCGGATGCTTTGCTCTACCACCGTCATTGTACACGATTTACAAATAGAATCTTCTCGCCGGCTACAATTGACATAAATCATATTTCACCACATCCGTAGCGTAATGATTGTTGTGGTCACAATTCGCATGAAGACGACCTTGCGACTTAATTAAGCGGCTCCATTTTGAATTCTAAACAGTTTCGAATAGTATAAGAAGATATCTTACATCTCTTATTGTTCATTATTTAAATGTACAATCAGTGTATAAATAAATCAACACATACTCTCTTAAAGCCAATCCGTGCATTAGATATCACCGAGGGGGAAACCGCCGAGGGCATTGTGGTGTACAGATTTGCGGCATTACTGGGCATTACTAGGCATTACTAGGCATTTTGTGGGCATTAGTTTGGACATTAGACCTTGCTGGGGCATTGTAGAGATAAAATAAGATAAAACAAGATAAATAAGATAATAAGATAAAGTAATGTCCACTGGGTATTAGTGGGCATTGGTGTACAAGATTTTGGTCAGCGGTTTCCCCCTCGGGTATCACTGATCACTGTTGCACATATACTCGCAGTGGTACACCTGTAACTGTGATTAGTGATTATTCACTGCTTTACAGTGACGATCCACTGATTGACTTCAAGCGAGTAAAGAAATTAATTGCCCTTAAACTAGTTGCGACGACAGAGGCCTCAGAATTACCTAATATCTATTTTCTACGTGCAATGTAATTATAGGATGGTGATTCAATCAGAGGATTGAAAGCTCTGGCTTCATTTTCACCAATCAACCTTTTAAGGTTTGTATGAGGCTATAATTGAGTAGAGTTTCTACGTGCGTTGACTGTCGCCAATCTCGTACAGCTCATTGCCTCGTTCATATATAAAAGAGGATATGAAAGAATGTTTCATACTTTCTCATTCTTATCGATCCGATTTTATCATTGCGGTGCAAGTTAAAATCGCGACGCTCGGATAATAAAATAATAAAATGACGAATCGATAATTATTAATTCATTTAAGCGAAACGGATAATTAGGATTATTAATGTAACGCGTCCATTACTACATTTGTTAGTAGAATATGTAAGCACACACGTGTACGCTGTGGAATATTTTGATTCGTGTCAACTTGTAGCGCCGTGCTTTCACGGCTGATCCGATTTGAAATGAAAATTACATTTCTGACGTGGAAACATGTGCTGAGAACAATTACAAATTATACACAACGAAGTAATGTCAAAAGCAAAGAGAAGTATATCTTCTCACGTGATTTTCATGAATGAGAATTCGCGTGGGAAAGAAATGTATTACGATCAACATAATTATAGTGGACGAGAAGAGAGCAAATAAAAATAGAATATGCTGCAGAAAAGACTAGAGTTCATTGGCATCATTTCTTGGCAAGTCTTAGAAGAACGATTATAACATGACTCGGTCAACATATGCGCTGTATTGATTCCACGCAACGAGAACCTCGTTCACGCAGAATCGAAAAGTCTAATTTCTCAAACTTATAAGGATTATCCTGAGAAATATTATCGAATATCAACTACTGAAGATCTGCTTGTGCTCCCTCAAGTAATAATTAAATTAAAGTATATAAAAGTTAAAAAGATATTGAGATATATTTATAACGATGAGAGTAAAAAATTATTTAAAAATAAAAGTAGCAGAAAATAACGAAAAGAAAGAAGAGAGAGAGAGAGAGAGAGAGAGAGAGAGAGA